CTTTCTATCACTACAAATCTACGCTTTCACTATAATTTATCATAAACTCAAATCCTACTTCGTCGTTCTTGTGAGAAAAGTTTTTCTTCCAGTGAATACCATAATTCTGCACTTGGCCAACCAACAGATAAAACTAGAACCATTTTGCATGTACACTCATTGTAATTGTACGAAAGGAAGAGTTTATAAAACTTCCTATCGCCCTTCCTGATAATTTCTTAATCTCAAATTTTAATTATCATATTTGATAATTCTCAAATTCTACAAAGTGATTCTAGTTTGTCAAAGTCTTTCAGCAACAAACCCTATATTGCTTATAAACATAACACCTGCCTGACTCTTTGTTCAGACTTAACATGTAACAGCCTATATACCCTCTCTATATTACTCGCTTTACGTTATATGTAATCATATTGATAGCTGAATCTTAATGCATAGTCCATGTGGTAGTTCACTGTAAATAAAAATTTCACTTAGGTCTTTAAGTCAGCTATTTAGTCAGCAATATCACTTGAGATTTAATACGGGAAGGGTGTAATGTCTTACTGCCCTTGGCAGCTCTGGAATTTTGTAAAATGAAAATGTAATAATACGTGGCCTGGCCTTGGATTGTACTATAGCTTTACAACACACACAACACACACAGTTTAAAAGCGTAAAACTGGTACTCTGTTGTCAGGTTCTTCTACACTTTCTTGTGTTTAGTACATTATCTTCAGCTTGCTTCATGTGCTTTTTACGAACAACTCTGGTTCAGCAGCTGCATGACACACAAGTGAACGCTTCCGTGAGCATTATCATCATATTTGAATTGGCAACAATAACAAATTGTATCTCAGTACTTTAACTGGCGTGGTCGTAAACTTTCCTGTCTATATTTAATGGTTTTAAAACGTACCCACATGGATCGCGAGAAGTGGAATATTATTTCTTAAATTTTTACCTATAATTCTTTCCTAACTATTAATCATAAGCTATCTAATGAACAATATTTGAGGTTCATTGTTCAGGTATGACCTCCGAACTATACTTCATTGCTCATATTGTTACTCACATGACGTATCTTCAGGTGCTGTGCGATGGTTATAATTTTCTCACATTTCTATCATTGCTTTTAAATCTTATTTTCTAAAGAAGGGTTTAGGCTCGTAACATTGATTATAACAAAAAAAAAGTTTAAAAGCCACTTACTTTTACTTGTCTATTTTTCGCATTTTTTGATTGCTTAGAAAATGGCAGTTAAATTAAGTTGTTGATTGTTTTAGTCTTAAAAAGCTGATAATATTATAATTATAGTGCTAAATATTTCTGACATAAACAGGTGGATTAGAGTATAACTATATGGTAAACGGAACCTACATTAGCAACAATCTGGAGTGAAGTGTGAGAATTAGTACAAGGAAGATGCTTTGCTTATGAAATGGCCACACACTGATTACTCCTATATCGCCTACATAATTTTAGATACTTATTTAAGCCCTCTTGATATGAAGACGGCAAGAGAAAGTATAAGAGAAAGAGAAATGTTGAAATGCTGAAATGTATGTGAAATTCCTTATTACTGCAAATGAAATCTGACTTTGCGTTTTCTTTTGTAAGAAGCAAGAGCGTAATATTCATTTCTGTCTACAAAATTTTGTAAACCCAAAACTTCTCTTAACTCGAATATTCAGAAATAAGAAAAACATGCATATAAGTTTCTGGCATTGCCTTTCAGCCCAGAACAAGCAGCACTAACTTTCAAAACTGCTCTTTAATAGTTTCCTCTTAAAATGGCGATTTTCGCGGCTTAATTGAAATATAGAATGTGCCAAGTGAGCGGGCAAGAAAATTCATGATTGTGGGTGTGTTTTTTAATTGAACAGAAGTGGGATAGAATGACTCTAAAATTGTAATGATGTGTAGATTAATCATTGACCAAGTCAATCAGTAAAACAACTCCTATAACCATTTTACTGTGTATTTAAATCAGCTATCACAAAAAAGCCCAAATAAGCGACCTCATAATAAAACAAACCCACAAAAACACAACCTATGACTCTAAAAAAATCAAAACGAATTTTTATTTAACAAAAAAGCCCAGTTCCGTTTATTATAAGCCGACTAAGTAACACTGATTGAAAAGTATTTGTTCATCAAAACTGTTATAAAAAGACGTTTTAATTTTTTTTTTTCATTTGCAGTTCATAAGAAAATCATACCTCTATTGGTTTCATACATGTACTTTGTGAGATCCCAAATTCCAAGGTATGGGTCTATTGATCCTGTACATAAGTAGACCGACTTAAATACGAAACTTATCACGCAATCAAATGATACAACTTTTAATGTTACATCAAATAGAGTAATATTTTCTCTCTTAAACAAATATAAAGATATATCGAATTCTCTTGGCTTTTTATATCTTTCCACTGGCAATTATTACCTTAGCAACCATCAAAACACAAGAGATATCACAAAAGTATGACAAGACGTCACCAAAGTCTCACTAAAAAGGGATGTTTTCAAAAACCATAAGACACTGAAGAGGGTAACCAGATCTGTGAACTTTACATCTAAACATTTCTTATGACAAATTATGCATATTATTCAACGACAGATTTTAAGTTACTTCTACCTTCGACATTTAATATAACATACAGTTGTTTTTATCAGATGCACGATGAACTTCAAACTAATGATAAATAATGTGATGCTTCTGTAATATATGGAATGAGATTTACTGAACATCAGAAATGTTGTAAACTACGCTTGTTTCACCTTAAATTGACTGTTTTCATGACTATGTTAGTACAACATACTATTAAGAAAAATAGTTGTAAGTTTATACTTATGCAACAATTTCATAGAATAAAAGTATTTAGGGGTAGGTTATAGGCAAAAGTTAAAATATGATCTTTCAACATACTTGTGCTATGTATTTTTACCACTTATTTTACTCTTACTTCATAGGTTGTTTGGAGTTAGTACAACGAGTAGAACACTTGACATATTATGTTTTTTTTTGAAGCTTAGGAATATTCCATTGTACATAAATAGCATTTTTTATAATTACACTATGTGTTGCACAGCATACTGTAAAAATCACATACATATTACAGTAATTACTTTAAATAAACTAAGAATAGTTTTGTTTTTATTTTACAACAAAAGTTCAAATTATCAACAATTATATAAACAGGTTCTGTCTTTATAAATCTGTTTTGGGAATTTTCGGTAAAACTTTAAATATAAGTCATAAGATTTTCGCAACGTTATAGTTTAAGGAAAACATAACATAAATTTTGGAAATATTGACCAAAACCATATTAAAAATGACTTAAAGGTAATGACAGAAAAGAATAAGACTAATACTCTCTATCTATCTATATATATATATATATATTGACTTGGTCATTCATAAATAGTGTTGATAATTTTGTTTGAAAGTATGTTTCGTTCATTCTCAGCGGTAAGCAACAGAATTTAATTTCTCGGTACCGTACCTAAGAGTTTACTTTCTTTATCTAGCGAACGAATACACAAGACGTTTTTCACAGAAACGAGTTATTTTTCAACTTGAAGGATTAGTAATCAGCCGTGATTTTTGAAACGTAACATTATATGCAGAGTAATCACTAACTGTCTTATAGTCCATATTTTTCTTGAACTGAAGAAAGTAAAGATTTCAGTAAACATGTATCACGTTTTGGTCAATACAGTTACGTTCATATATATATATATATATAAACATATATTAACATTTACGTTCACATAGATAAATATATATACATCTTTAACATTTACGTTCACATAGATAAATAAATATACATTTTAACAAAAAAACTTCACATAGATAAATATATACGTCTTTAACATGTTACAGATCACAATTTATTAATCACGAACTATCTGAGTGAATTTTAAATCAACACAAAACCTAGTACAAATACTATCTCTGTTCAGAAAATTGTGAGACTGAATGTAAAAAAAATTGCTTTAATCTGAGTATTATTATTGTGTATTTCAACAAGACACAAAATACGTATTGTGTTATATGCTATAGAGACCATAAAGAGTAGCATTTGTAGGAATTAGCAACGTGTAACTGTGCTACTTTAATCTAATTAATATTATCAAAACAACTACAAGTTTCATTATTATCTCTGATACAAACATAATGATATATATTTACTTAAATAAACACTTTTTTCATAAACATCATCATCAACAATCACTATGCAAGTACACCATCTTCCAAAATAATGTTAGCTTTAATTGTACAAGTATAGCTACACATGTGTTAATAGTACTGACATAATTAATAAGGATATTTCTATTGTTAAACATCTATCCACGAAGTAGGAATTATAAACGTTTACATATCTCTTCTTGTTTTTCTCAATAACTTAAGAAGTTGTAAGTTTATAAGCATAGATATGTAATTACATTTGTTCATATTGAAATTCGTACACCACTGACAACTAGAGACTAGAAATAAAACTTAGTTAAGCAACATTAACAATTTCCCTAAATTAATTCATGCGTTAGATAAGAAACGCACATGTTAAACTCACTGTAACGTTTATTTGTTTTAATGCGAAGCTACATAATGAGCTATTTGTGCTATGTTTACCAAAAGGAGTAGAACCTCGGATTTTAGCGTTGTAAGTCCGTACAATTACTGCGCTGAACTACCGGGGGACTCCATTGTAACGGTTTCTTTGATATAAACGTTTTACTTGTTTATGAGAAATGAGTACAAGAAGTAAAAACTGGAAAGCTTTGTTTTGTTGTATAACTTCTTACCCTCTTCGGACGATCTATATTTCTGTGGATATTAAATATATTCTGAGATAAAATAATTATAATGCATTACGTAATAAATATTATTTTACGAGTTTATATTTGAGTATAATATTTAATCTGACTTGTTTAAATAATTTCATTAAATTCGATTTTCTTGCTCATTTGTATACAATATCTTTACCTTTTTAATGAACTATTTTTACCAAAGGTCCAAGGGGTCGTTTTGGTGATCCTGAATAAGATCATTGGCACATGGGTTCAGAAATTCGAGACAGTTGTCCTCACCACCCTACCATTAGAATACGTAGAGGGCCAACAACTAAACTATTTGAGCCTCGACCACTTTGCCCGTGTCCTTGTCATAGGCCCGAATCGATGTTAAATCATGTTCTGAAGAGTGAATCAAAATCTCAAATCCAAAAATTTCAAAGATCACGTTCACCTACAGAGTCTCTGCAAAGCAGCGTGGGCTCAAATGAATCCAATCTCCCTTCTGAGATGCCTCAGGAAGTGACACAAGAAGAAATCAGAAATCCATTCAACATATTTCACAAATTTCTTCAAAGGATTCGGGTATGTAAACATTTAAAGCTACTAAATTTATCAGTTTATTACATGAAAATTTCAGGTACAAGTGTATGATCACGTTTTTAATGTTAGCTACTTTGAAAGAAAAACAAAGTATGATATGACTCAGAGTTGAGATTTAAATGGTATAATGCACTTTAAGTCCGGAATTTTTTTTTTCTTTCTCGCAGCATTTAATGTTTCTGATTACCAAGTATTATTACATTCGCAGTAAGCCTTCAAATTTCCACTTGTAAGTATTACATGTATTTGTCACATTATTTAATTGCCTATTTTATAGATATTTAACATTGGCAGGTAAATCTAATGTGTAGTAGTTTACAATATCTTTAGAAATACTTAGGCTTTTTTATATTTAAAATATGATTTTCAATGCAATTCCTATAATTTATTTTTCTAATGGAGCATTAATTTTTATTCGTTTTTCACTTTACATCATAGTTTTGGCGTTATATACCTCTAACGTCCCTTGTACGTCCTACAACCATGTAATCTCTTGTACGATTCTTTTATAATTGATTAAATAAATATCAAGTGGTAAGTTTAGTGTTGTGTATAAATGATAAGACTAATATTTATTAAATTTTCATATTTTGATACTAATATGACAACATTTCAAGTTCAGCAAAACGTAACTAGTTTTAACTGCTATAATATTAAAATCACAATTCTACTCGCCTTTACGTGTTTTTTAATAAATATTCTTTATTTGTGAAACTTCTATTTGAATTTACTTCAAAATAAAATTTCACATCAATCGTTTGGATTCCTAGTAATTAAAATTACTTTATATATAAAAATTAATGTGTAAGATAAAACCGAGATTTTGCGAGACCCATAAATAGAAACAAAATTTACTTCAAAGTGAACTGAAGAAAGTAAAGATTTCAGTAAACATTTGTCACTTATATGTAAATATAAATAGAAACATAGACCCATAAATAGAAACAAAGTTTACTTCAAAGTGAGCTGAAGAAAGTAAAGATTTCAGTAAACATTTGCCACTTATATGTAAATACAGTATCGTTTATATATAAAAAGATATATACAGACATATATCTTTATTAACCGCAAGTTATTTCGGGGTATTTTCAAATCAACATAAAAAGATAGCAAAGTTAATACCTCTATTCAGAAAAATAAGAAATTGTGAGAATGTCAGGTTTTGTATATTAGTTTGGGATTCTTTTACAATAGGTGTCTGTGACTTGTTGGCGATAAATTAAAATATATAAACGGACAGCACACAATCTACTTGTTTTAAAATAATGTTTTCAAAACAAGTCAAACGTATGTACAAAACTTCTTTACACTATAGAATATCACAGTTGTATCTAAAATTCTAAGTAATTCTCTTTTCTTGTCAAAAGTCCACACAGGCTGGTTCAGTTACTTTAGAGCACCCTTTAACAAGACAAATTATTTCTCCTTACGGCTAAACTAACAATCACACAGTCTGACTTCACTTTCATTAGCTTAACTTTTTCTAACTTAACTTGCGCTCACTTGGTCGCCTATATACATATATTGCCCAACTGAGGTCTAGAACTTCCTACAAACTGCGAGACGCTATGATGTAGCAATACTCACTTAAGACAACGAGGAAATACAGAAGGTTCGAGTAATATGACGTCAATTTTCAACAATTGAATAACACACACAACGCGCGACTCTTACCGAGTTACGCAACGCAATTTGTTTTAACTATCGCCTTTAGAATAATTATGAAAACTAAATAATCATTAAATATTAGATCCCTAAATGAACTAAATAATAATCTTACACTAAACAGTCTTGTATATCCAACAGAGAAAAAGTATAAAAAATCGCTTTACTCTAAGTTTAATTATTAACAAGATTCAAAAGATGTAGGCCTACATTGTTTTAGATACTTGTTTGAAGACCTCTCGATATGAAGACAACAACAGAAAGAAAACTGAGATAACTTCGATTAAAATGTTGAAGACTGTGCCAAGTAATGTATGTGATATCGAACTGGTTTATTACTATTAATGAAATATGAGCTTGTGTTGGGTTTTTTTTTTTTAAATGCCAGAGCGTATGTCTGGCCTGGCATAACTTGACAGTTAGGGTCACTGATTCCCAATCTGCGGGTCGAAGGATTGAAATACTACGCCGAACATTCTCACCAATCCAGCCGTTGGGTCATTATAATGTGACAGTCAATCCCATAATTCGTTGGTAAAGAATAGTACTGATTAAATTGAATATTCAGTTTTTTACGGGGATTTGTGCGGTGGCATATTTTGTACTTTCCCAGGGCCAGCTTTGTAATATACACAGAAAGATTGTAATTCATTTGTTTAATATATTTAGTGGGTCACACAAAGAATATCGTTCAACAAGAAAACAGACATCGATCTCTGTGACTCCTCCTTCGAAAGTTCTACCAGGGAAACAAATGAACCTGGAAAAGATGAAGAGGTGAAAACTGGAAAATTCTGTTTTGGAAAGTAAGTATTATCAGGTGAAGGGGGGATCTTTTATTGGGTTTCAGCAGATTACGCTTTGAAAAGTGAGGCTATATGATTGATTGATTGTTTTGTAGTTACGTACAAAGCTATAAAAAGGGCTATCTGTAACGTTATATATATATATATATACCAAAAACTTAGTAATATATTTCTATGAATTATCTAAAAACTTGATCAACGGTAAGTTTTCGGGCTTACAACACTAAAATCCGGGGTTCGATTCCTCCGCTGTGTATAAAGCTCAGATAGCCCATTGTGTAGCTTTGGCTAAAAAGCTAAAAGTAACATCGAAAAATCAAAATGGTAACAATAAAGAAAAATCAAAAGAATAGCTTAATGGTTAGCTAACCAGACTGGGGATCAGAGGGTCTCTGAAGCGCTTTCTGTTGCCGCAAAAAAATCGCATGCCGCATTTTGGAACCACGAGTAGGTGCGTCATTAGAGCGATTACTGATCGACTACAGTAGCCAAAGAACTGTTTACTAGCTGTTTTCACTCTAGTCTATTAGTTCAAAATTAGGTACGCTAGCGCAGATAGCCCTTGTGTATCTTTGCATGAATATCCAAAACAAACAATTTTCAATTACCTACTCTCCGTATATTCGCAGTAACGACTTTTATCATGCTTAATGGCATCTGGTAAGAAGGTTAACAAAAAATATGTATGCGTGTGTGTGTGCGCGCCACTGTAAAATTAATACAGAGTACAAATATGTTTTTCTAAAAGCTACTCTAATTTACAAATATAATATATACATAAATGCCAATAAAGCGTCAGGTATAAAAACAGAAAGTTAAATAAATCAGAGTAAAATTAAACAGATAGAGAATGAGCTGCCTTGTGATAATCTTACTATATTTGTCACACAGTGCGCAGCGCATTAATCGTTACGTGTATCTCAACGTGATCCGTAAAACCTGTAGTTAAACTTCCACCGCGCAGAATCTCCATTGCAATCACTTGTACATTACTGCTTGTAGTAAGTGATCTACGTACTGTCTATTTCCTGCAGGTAAGTTGGTTCACAACTTTTGAAAGTAGCTAATAAAAATGTAAGTAAGTATGTTAAGTATAACTGCCAGTAACGTAACTTTAGACAATTAATTATTTCTACTATATCTAACTAATGGCGTAAAAATATTTAGCAAGAACAAAATATTGGTAAAGCCTTCAAAGCTATACAGTTTGCTACGCTGAATTGTCTTTTTTGATATATATTATATCATATTAACCAAATTATCCTTATACTTCAAGCTTCTTGGTGAAAAATAATGATTTACATCATTTGTCGTATATCATAACATATTTCAACTAGATAATAACTGTTTTACCCTCCTTTTATAATATTTGTCGAAATCAGTTTAGTGAAGTTGGTGCTGTTAATCCAATAAAAGTCTTGTTTAAGAACAGTAATTTCAATCGTTTTAATTCAAAGTAACAATGAATTTGATCGTGATTATTAATAGCGCTTCTAAGCAATATCGTAATTAAGCACGTCGAGTGGGAATAGTTCCCGCATAAACATCAGAGCAACATCATAAGGAGAATAATTTTAGCGTTATCTTAAAGAGTTAAAGTAAGAAACATATGCTGTATCTGTAGCCCAAAGCGTATGATTGATATATAATCCTTGTATATACAAGATTCAATCTATTAGCGTTCAGTGTGTTAAAAATCAACTTAATTAATTTGTTTAGTTATGTTTATTACAACTATCTTCTGGACTCCAATAGCTAAGCAGTAAGGCTACAGGCTTATAACGCTAAAAACCAGGTTTCGATACCCGTGGTGGGCACAGCACAGGTAGCCCGTTGTGTAGCTTTGCGACAAACAACAAACAAACAAGACAACTACCTTTTGACCTTACTGTACCTGGCTTAAAAGCCTCAAAAGTGTATTGGCTGTCAGAGCAGTGCTGTAAAGAATCTCATATCAGAATAAATATTGTACACCTGAATGTTGTACTAGTTCTTATCTTTAAAAGTGTTAATGAAAGTAATTAATCTTAACAATTTTCAGAGGCATCATTTTTTTCTCCTTGTTAATGCTGAACTATCAATAACTCGTGGCTGATACTAAAGATTTATAATGTTAAAAATTTGGTTCTGAGAACCGAGAGGTAGGCACACAGTAAATATAGCCCATTATGTAACTTTGTACTTAATAAACAAAACAAAGTATACCATGAATGACTTCTATCATAATGGAATTAATGAGAAATTTATCCATTTCTAGTTTAATTGAACTACATATCATTATGTTAATGTTTCGTGTAATGATAAGTTATGCGTAGTTAAATATCAGTGACAGTGTTCTATAAGTCTTAACATATAGCATTTTTCTTTATAGTTAGATTCATTAAATCCTATTAGTTACAATATCTATATTAATATTTTAAGGTGTTGTATGTATACCTGCTCTTTTAAAGTTATTTTGAACTGTTGATTTAGGCCTAATCTGCGAACCTAGTGAGATATTGCTGGGATTACAGCAGAAAATATCGTTAAAAAAAAAGAGTATCCAAATGGTGATTCAGTGCAATCCAGTGACTATTGGTTTTAATTCGTTAGTGTATATTTCTATAATATTAAGTAATTCTAATCAATTTGCTATGCCGAATTATATTCTTTGATATATATGAAAATGTAAGTTATTTTACTTCTGATATATATATAATTAGCTTTTTGATCAGAAGATCTAAATAATTTGGTTTTGAGAATTTGTTTTTACATATATATGTATATATATATATTTGTTGTTGTTTTTAAAAAGGAAAAAATCAATACACTACGATTGCATCTTTATAGTTTAGAATATCTAAAATGTTATTCTAAGTCTTTCTCCCACGAAACGTAATACATAATAATTGCAGATAAAACAATAACACTAGTATATATTGTGCATAAAAGATTGTAAATTTTGCATTAAAAATAAAAATTGTAAACTTAAACATTCTAAAATGAAATATGATGTCCAGTCTATCATTCGATTGATCACTTATCACTGTGTTTTACCGGTTTCGGGACATTTCATTCTTCATCAGTAACCTTGTACAAGTGCAGGTCATCTTCGAAGTGGCCTTTTTATAGTGGTGGACTGTATATTATACGTATGGTGTTTTTTGGTTTACAGTGAACCTATATTTATAAAGGATTTATAACACTCATGTCACTAAATTTTTCTTATAAGTTATTCAGCAGGTAAGTCTGAAATAGATATGAGGACACATGTGGTGAAAAATACTTTTATGTTCGTAAAACATCCCATGGGGTTGAGTCGACAGTAACAATAGTGCCAGAATGCACTACGTCATTTCTACAACCACTACACATTAACTAAACATACGTACTTCTACCAGTATCTTTTTATTAATGAAAATCGAAAAGAAAACAGCCACAAAAAAAACAACAATTTAACGAAATAGAAACTAAAATAAATGTTTAAAAACTAATGACATTGAAAAACTATGATTTCTGTTCGGAAGACATTTTTCAATACTTTACCCACTGTTAATATCACAAAACTAATCAGTTGGTCACACTTTGCTGGTGGTGTGTGCTACAATGGCGTAAATAGTAATAACCCAATGCCCTTTGGGTGAACATAGAGAGGGAATGGATTAGCTGTTTTCTTCACTAACGGTGTGTATTAGTTTATTTAAAATAATAGAACTGTTATTTATTTACTGCTCCTATCATGTGCATGGAAAATGTTGCACACAAACAATAAATTGACAAAAAATACCTAATGCTTCCAAAGCACGAGACATGTATTCTAATAAATTGTGCAGCATAGCCATTCTCATAAGCACTTTATTCTGACATTTCCACAAACGTATGGCTGGAACAGGAACCAGAAGGATGGTGATTTCAGTTATTCAGAATGACAGTGTTCCCTCAATTCTTATAGTTTATATATTTACAAATGTAACCATAGGGGTATACAAGAGGATCAAGAACCACAGTCCTTATCCAACTACATGCAGATTTGGAAGTCATCTTTAGTTTGGCCGAGATAGTGTAAGAATATTCACCTTTAACGAACTTACAGAAGCCAACCTGATGAACTTAATGTCAGAGTATCAACGTAACTGGTCAACGGGTAGCATCCCAAGAATATAAACTGATGCCTTTATCAAATCCTTACTCAAGCTCATGAAAAACAATTTTTATCTTAAAGGCCATTGAATGACTATCCTCCAAAACATCATTGGCAAGATCCCAGAGAAAGCTGTAGCGAGAAGGTTTGCTTATCAGATTTAATTACTGGTACACTCATCATTTGGTGGTTATCATAGCGAACGAGAAACCTGGATCAACAAGCTGGTTTATGGGAAGTCTTCGAAGCTGTTTAAGGCATCTTACTAATAAGTTTAGACCTGGAAGATACCCACATTTAAGTTCCGTTGCCCATTCTTGTTAACAAAATGTTCAGAATAGTTTGATGTAACATATGTATAGCTGAACTAACTACTAGAAGATGCGTCATGAGGCATACAAGCTGGCAATCGGACTGAATCACCATCATTATAGTTCATCTCAACTTTTTCCAGTCTTTTTCAACTCTACACTATGGTTCTAGTCTACTAGTATATAGATGTTGTGTGTTAACCTTTGCTGTCAAAATTCTGGTGTAAAGGAGAGACTCTAGTAAAACTGAAATCAAAAGCAAGATGCATGTTATGCACATTCAGCAACAGAGATACTGATGAAGGCTAATCATCATCGTCATCCTTTGCAGTTACTGCTATCTCTGGAAGAAACACTGAAGTACTTGGAGTTGACCTTTGACAGACAGTTCAACTTCATCAGCAGGGAATGATCAAAATATTGCCTCAGGAGACAGTAATAAGTGGACAGGTGTTATACAGCTACAACTGAGAGAATTTGCCACCACCATATTTCATTTACCCACCGATTGTGGAATAAATATCTGTTGCCAATGGGACCTGTGAAAATTAATCTAGACAGCAAATGTA